CCCTGCATTGGCCGAGAAAGTTCATCCAGATTTTCCGGCGTGGTTCCCCCTTGTCAGTGATGCAGGACGGAGGGCCTGAAAAGGACAGCTGTCTAGCCATTCGGATGAGACGAAAAACCGAGGTCCCGTGTACACATTGGCGTGAACGTAAAAGATCCCTTGACAGTTGGAATTCGATATAAGAGTAAGCCGTAGTGCCGCTGTCCGGGCAAAATTACCCTCATAGCACACTGTATGGCGTATGCCCGTCTTCATTAGCCCAGTTCGGAGCAAAACAGTAGGACGTTAAACCCCATTTCATTTCATTTCATTTCATTTTGTCGACCGCCCGGACGATTTAGCTGCAATGGGCGCATGTTTCATTGTTTGGCAACCTATCTTTATTAATGCAACAATATATCCCAAGTTGAGGCTAAGGCTCGTTTTATTTTATCCACATACCCAAAGTACAGCTTCAGACTATCCGTAGGCGCCAGCGTGCTCATCATACATATTATTATAATGAGCACGCTGGCGCCTACGGATTTCTTGGAAACAGGTATATTGTAAACATTTGAATTAATAATCATGGTATACATAATCCAAAATTTAAAAGCACAAATTGTGCGCTTACCAATTATGTCATGTAGTTTGTATATAAAGATTATATGTATAATTAAATGTAAATATACCAGGTCCAAAAAGTCCTCTGATTGAGTATTTACTCGCAACTCGTCAAATGTTAAAGATGTAAGTTTCCATAAAGCATTTAAGCATTTAATATGTTGAAAATTTTAGTCAAATTACTTTATTCTGAGCAAATGTTAAAGATGTAAGTTTCGATAAAGCATTTAAGCATTTAATATGTTAAAAATTTTAGTCAAATTACTTTATTCTGAGCAAAGTTATGAATGTTTTAAGTTTTGACAAGAAATAGCTGATGGCGAGCCACCCACTGATCATATTCTCGATGGCCAAGTCCATTTGCAATGATGATAAAAGAAATCTCGATTGTCAGTCCTTTTACCAGCAGTCTCTGGCCAATATTGGCGTTTAGCCTAGATATGGCTGGATTGTCTAATCTACGCAAAATCTAAACCACCCCATAGACTAGAGCCTGGGTTTCCAACCTTGGAGTCGCGGAGTACTTTTCGTGGAGTCGCGGTGGAATATTCTCAAACTTTTGAATAAATGCTATGTTTTCATGAAAGGCATATACGAGGACTGGCTAAAAATTTCTGAGTCTGAAAAGGATAGATCGATTGGGTTGAAACAAACTTTTGCCACCAACAAGTACAATCATTGAATGAATCTTATACATAAGAACTGCAACAGTAGTGTTATTATTGTCTTCGCACAAGATCATCTTGTGAACCTTCCCATTAATATCACCAGAAATGGACAAACTGGCAGGTACCTACAACTGAACGGACTATCCCCAACACAAATACAAGCCGACACGGTCTCCAATTTAGGGCATTTAAGCGTGACAGAGAGAGAGCCTTGACAATGACCCGCGTCCTCGAAGGCCATCAACGGCAACCATTCAATAAAGCATTACCTGGGTGCATGACATGGTGATGGCTGATCGACGATTGATCACTCGACATATTGCCAGTGTTGTGGGCATCTCTCATGAGAGGGTTCTGCACATTATCGCCAACTTGTTAAGGTATTACAAAAGTTTCTGCAAGATAGTCTTTAGATGGGCGCCAAACCCCTTGACAGCGAATCAAAAACATGTCAGCTTTCTGACATTCTGTGACAATCTGCGCCGTTTTGAAGCAGATCCTGATGATATGTGTCGCCAGAATTGTAACCATGGATGAGACCTGTTTCAAACAAGGAACTAGCCGGTCGCCATTTTCCTAGTAATGATGACGCCATGTCAGCTGCGAACGTCTTTTATAGGGTGGCTGAGGATATTCTTCTTGATCGGCATCCAAGCCTCGCAACATCGTTGGCAAAAATCTGTACACCTCGAAGGGGACTATACATGTAGGAAAAAAAAGGAACTATCGAATTTGTACAGGTCTTTAACAGATAGGGCTGGAACTTATCGACCAACCCTCGTAAATCTCTGATCTATACACACCTTGCCACATTGCCAATCGTGTTTCCTCTCTCGCGCTTACGATTTGTTTCCCGGGTCACTCATTACAACATTATGATCTCTAAATAATGATATTTCATAGAGGGGTCACGATTAGATGATCGTTTTTGGAATAGGGTCGTAGCAAACAAAAGGTTGGGAACCATTAGTCTAGAGAGTTGATTATGGGCTAATTTATATAACATTTGACGCAAGAAAACGCTTGGTAATAGGCAAATTAAGCGCCAGCATAATGCATCTTTAAAGAAATTTTCCGCTTGTTGCTACCTTGAGATTATTAAGATAATTGTTGCAGTTCGTTTATATTGACGTATTTTCCGGCAGTTCATTCATTAACTCTATAAATATAAATTTATAGACATGTCTCTAATTTAAAAATCGAAGTAAATTTCAGGTTCCTCAAGGAATTAGATGGTAATGTCTGTAATTATAATTATCATCATATCTATATTTATATTATTCAAATACATATTATTTCACACTAAATAACTCAGATTTGCACGAAATACGAGTATGTTGAAGAACTTGCCATCAATTCTTGAATAATCAAATTCAAGATTTCTTAATGAATTGCGGAGTCCTATTTTATATAAATGACCCCGAAAACGCCCAAGTACCTAGCAAACACAAAGAAACTTCTGGACCAACAGTGGTGTTATTGGATAAGTAGAAAGGAAAGGAATTCCTTACTAGCATTAAATATCTGATAAACTTGTCCCCTAGTGTGTTAAAGTCGGTTGCGTTGCAAGTTGGTTTTATACCCTCGCGGCAGATCAAAAGACCATGCAATTTATGGGTATCTGTACCGGAATTTGTATTTGTTCGTGACAAGGGGTAGGATCGCCTGTGCGACCCCGTGTTTCTAAAGACCCATGAGCACAAACGAATTTACACAAGGTCAGTCTAGGACGTTCAGAAATTAGGAGGTTATAAAAGAGGGTGTTGAGCGAGGCAGACCAGAACTCACCCTGATATTCCTAGCAGCTATCATCTATGCTTTATTGAGAACGTGGAACATAGAAGCCTTGCAAGCAGTTTAATAAAGCCGTAGAAGCCATTTAACCTGTAATTTTATATTACGATCACTAAGAAAACACAACAAGAAAGTCCGATATTACTACAAAACTTTGATAATTTTTTAAACGCTTCCCAATGTGCGAATTATTTCGCCGATCCCATAATTGACATGGTTCAACTTATTAAATATATATGCATGTTGTTTTGAAATGACCATAATGTGACTTCTTATTTATATATTATGGACCTTTGGTTGTTAATTGTGTGATTTTTAATCATTAAATAGGATAAATGGCATGCACAACTACTACAGAGTGAAAGATTATAGACTTAAAACTCTCACACAAATTGTTATTAACAGGGCATGTAAGGAATCTGGCTTAGGAAAGACAAGAAATTATGTTCCAAATTCTCTCCCTCAAACCCCACATCTCTCTGTGTGATAATACATTCCATATGGGTTTGAAAAGAGATTTCATTTTTTTCCCAGGTCAAATTTGTTTGAGTTGCAACATCTTAATAGCTCCGTAACCCTATATTAACAGTGATAGTTTGAAATTTTACTCCCAGAAAAATTAATTTGTGAGTTAAAATAATTCTTCTTTTGATTAGTTAGATGATTTTAGGTTTCGTTTCCCTTTACGAAATCCCGTAGGTCCATGTTTGGAGTCTGTGCAGCCAATATTTTAGTTTGATGTTATTACACCAATTGGTAACATTTATTATATCACAGATTCACAATGTGATAGTACATGTACATGGTATATTAAACACAAGGTAGAGCTAGAATATTTTGTAATAATAGAATTTAAGAAATACATGAATAATATTACATAAATTAAAGATGCATTAGGTATAGATAAAAGGGCTAGTCTTTGTCGCTTTAATAGTTTAAACATAGATAATGAAAAAGCATTATATTGAAAATTTTAATAAATTATCTCATTCTGAGTAATGTTATGACTGTTTGAAGGATAGTCTCGATTTTCACTGACATGGTTGTTACAATAAAAAACAAATGCTGGATTATCAGTTTATAAATTAAATTATTAAATAGCGATCGTGTTTCAATGCGTTAAAAATCACAACCGTCCGATGATCTAGAGAGTTGATTATTGGGTTATTTATATTTAAGACCAAAAGAAAGATCTGCAACAGGCAAATTTAGCTCATACTTAATGCATCTTTAAGTACAATATCTACAACAAGAGTACTATACAGTAGGCGATGCACTATACACGAGTCATTGTGATACTTATCATCAACCTAATGTGCTACTTATTGTTACGTTTGATTCGACCACCCCATTATCATATCTTCTATTTTTCGTTCGGAAGCAGCATAGCATCTCAACAAGGATATTTGAAAACTTTTTGTTCATCGCTATGTAAACCACAAAATTAGCAGAAGAATTACAAACCTCAAGAAACGCAGATATGGCGCTAGCTACGCGAAACTCATTACGAAATTCTCCAGCTAGTGAGAACCTTGTATCTATCAATGATATGGCAAGAAAAATGCTTCCGGGAAGAAGGCATACGATGTATATAGAGACAATTGTCATCAACATCTTGGTAATTGCCTGAATTTCGTTCTCTGCATTCGAGTTTTGTGTAGCAAGTGTTACATCTTGAAGCCATTTTTTCCTTCGACGCATCTGCGTGATAATTGCTATAGTAAGGGTGGTTATAAAAAACATAGGCAAAACTCGCAAAGCCACGGCTAGAAATACTCTATTGTAAAAACTAAAGAATTCTTGGTTCTTCAAAAAGATTGGCAGATATGTTATTCGTGCCATGGTTCTGTTCTTTGTGTTGTCATAATACAAATTAACTGTCATCAAACCAAAGTTCACAGCAATAAGTCCGATTACGATTACTGTAACAGCTACTACAGAAAATATCATCCGTTTAGGGGTTACCCAAAGTTTGACTTTCAGAGGCTTGAAAACGGCAATAAATCTTTCACAGCATATAACCAACGATAACAAACTAGATGTACGACTGGCTATGAGTTCCAATATCAACGGTGCAGTAAGCATTACATAATCAATGGTTTGGGCTGTGAGTGGATCGGCTTTACCTACAAGACACGGCATCTTTCTCATAAATGCAATTAACAGTAACAATGTATCTATAAAGGCCAGATAAGCAAGAACAATGTTGGTACTGTACTGTCGCATTTTCTTGCCACCAAGAATAATCAAGCTCAATACGTTACCAATCCATCCGAACAGGACTACTGGTGGGAGTAAATAACAATTTATCGCCGATCGAATGACATCTGCTGTAACTTTTGTAATAAAGCCCCCGCTACCTGGAACATCATTGTTGTTGGAATGCTGGTCATCTACTGTAGAATTCGCTTGACTACCATTAATTGTGGTCATTGAACTTCCAAATGTTTCCAGAGAATTTAATGTTGTATTAAAAGCCATGATTCTGAATGGGATTACTACAAAAGAAATAAATTCATTGTCACGTTCACTTATACAGAGAAATCAAAACCTTTTTGACATTGTCACACATTACAGCTTTGTCAATTTCACATATCCATTATTACTAATAAAATGTTGCATTGTTTTAAGACTCAGCTTCTGGAACCATTTTGAATTAATATTTGAAAAATAAAACTTTTAAAGCATACTGTTCCTTTTTAAATATCCAGGTGAGGAACATTTACTTTTCAGCGCGGTGTGTCATCATGTTGTCAACAGCAAGGGCACCGATTGATGAAAGCAACATAGACTTACACCTACAATCACAGGGTACGTAACCCGATTAGTGTAAATGAGTGTTAAACAATATTCAGTATTGTCTTCCTAAGATAGGTCTAGGTGCGCGTGAAACTGACCAAAAATTTACCATATTACCGTCTAAAGAAACTCTATGTTATCAACAGGAATGACATCGCAAATGAGGATAGTTCAGGGGCTAGCAAAGTCTTTTTTTACCGAACATCGCGAGTTTGACGCCTGGAATTAATAGATATGTGATGCCTTTGAGGACACCACCAGGGGGCAATTTTCACATTATCGCCAGACACCAAAATTGGTTTCATAACACATCACGAGCACAATCATGTCAAAATGTTCCTGGAATTCCCAATGATAATATTAATCCTTCTGAGTGGTCTATTTTGGGGCTAACCTACTTCTAAGGTGGCCAATGGTACTTATTGTTCGGCCACGTCCACTCTACCTTAAATGTACAGTAGAATCTGTATGAGCAGCCACTCCTATTCAGCGACATCTCCTTGTAAGCGGTCACGATAAATTCCCCCCGTAGAAATTCTGTTGTTTCATCTCTTTATTCAACGGTCACTCCTCTAACGCGGCCAGCGGTCACTATTTTACTAATAAATTCAACAAAACATCGCCCATTCAACGGCCATTGTTGAATGATACCATCTTGTCGTTCTTTGTAACACCCCCGCTAATCCCGTGAGTAGTAGTTAATTAACTGGACCCCCACTGATCAGGTAAAAAGAAATGTAAACATAACAATCAACCCGGGATTATCTGTTAATTAATCATTTGTTTTATTAAACGACTAACCTGATCATTGTTTTCACGCGTAACGACACATTATTTGATACTGATTGAATAAAATAAAAGTACCGACTTTTGTCACGATCATCTAGTATCTCTCTTAGCGCCTCCTATAATATTACATACAGAGTTACACCCCCTGTAAATAGGAGATAAAATTAGCGATGTTTTTGTTCATGTGCTTTTTTGATAAAATAAAATGAATTCATCGATTTTCTTCACAAAAATGGATAAATATTATCGAATGCATCACAATGGTAGACAGTAGTATCGAGCTTTGGTACAAAATGACAAGTTTACAGAAGTTATGTCCGAGATTTGAGTAAAGAATTTTCGTTCGGCGCAAGATTCAGCGACGGTCAAATTTACCGCTTCCAATGCATCCAAGCGTAATATTTAATTTATGTCAGCACATAATATTATAGGAGGCGCTAAAACGTCACAATAAAGTGGCAATGGAAAAGAGATACTAGATGATCGTGACAAAACTCGGTACTTTTATTTTATTCAATCAGTATCAAATAATGTGTCGTGACGCGTGAAAACAATGATCAGGTCAGTCATTTAATAAAACAAAAGATTAATTAATAGATAATCCCGGGTTGATTGTTATTTTTACATTTCTTTTTAACCGATCAGTGGGGGTCCAGTTAATTAACTACTACTCACAGGATTAGCGGGGGTGTTACAAAGAAAGACAAGATGGTATCATTCAACAAAGGCCGTTGAATGGGCGATCCTTTGATGAATTTATTAGTAAAATAGTGACCGTTGGCCGCGTTAGGGGAGTGACCGTTTAATAAAGAGATGAAACAACAGAATTTTTCCGGGGGGAATTTATCGTGACCACTTACAAGGAGATGTCGCTGAATAGGAGTGGCTGCTCATACAGATTCTTCTGTAACTCCAGTTATCCAGTGACCACAGTCATCTGCAGTTATTCCAGCCATCTAGCGACGTCAGGTATCCAGAGGAATATATCTCCGTGTATAGCACAACATTTTATATAAGCATATAATTACATATTACAATGACTGAAGTTATCCAGTAACTCCAGTGATCCGGCGTTTACAGTTATCAGTGACTGTAGTCATCCAGTAATTCTAGCCATCCAGCGACGTCAGCTATCCAGATGATTTATCTCCGTGTATAGCATATCATTTTATGAGATAATATTACCCTCATCGAGGATTGCTATGTGAAATAACCTGAGGCCTAAGGCCGTTGGTTATGTCACATATCGACCGAGGGCATATATTATACTCTTAAAAAAAAGTAGGGGATATTGAAATGCATATACCTATGCCGGTTGTGATATGATAAATAGTGATGGACACTTGACTTACTTTGAGAGTATGTTCAGAGATGGAGAACTTATCGCCCCAACAGAACCACTGAGCTGCAAGTGCGACACGCAAATAGCGCCATACACATGGGAGGGATTCATTGTCAAATTTGACACTTCAAGGAAGGGTTGGTGAAAACTGCCGCTTGATGGTTTATCCTATCCATGTTTGCTTTCCTATCGGTTCTTGCATAAGATTTACTGTTAAGCGTATCTTTGCTTTAGTGTGTTACGTTTAATTTGATCGGGAGACGTGTTCGTCAACGTCAACGTCAACCGATAACACTGCAAAAATTGGCCGTGGCATTGCAAGAGGAGTGGGTCAGATTGCCCCAAATCGTGATTGGACGGTTGATTAGGAGCATGCAACAACGAATTGCTGAATGTCTGAGGATTGGTGGAGCAATTACTCATTATTAAGACAAATATCAAAAATGATCATTTTCACTTTTGACAGTGTATCTCTTTGCGAATGAAATGGGGCCGTCAGATAAGCCGCCCATATGAACTGTTTATGTTCATGTGTAGGCAATTGGCCTGTTATTAACATACACTGGTTAACTCTTATAAATACAGCAGTGCATTTCGGCAGTTTTGTATTGTTTCTGAACATCCCCTACTTTTTTTGAAGAATATATATTAGGCCAATATTTGTTTAACACACCGTCATCAATGTTAGACAACATGTTATCCTAATTGATTTCACCTATTAAACACAGGTTTAGCCTCATATCCGCCCTGTTACATTGTAGTAACCACCTGTTCACTAAGTAGTATTCACTTTCTACAAGGACAATTTTGGCTAACGATTCTGATGAAGAACTGATCTAGACAAGTCAGTTTAAAGAAAATATGATTGAAAAGGGAAACAGATTCTGACGAATAATTATTTAAAGCTAGTCAAAGTGCGGAATTTATGCAGAATATATTTAACAAGGATTTAATGTACTAGGATATTTTAGATTGCGAGGAAGATAAAATGATAAACGCTTTTCAATTTCGAGTCACAAAGACGTCAGTGAATGTGCCAACAATGCCATGCCCAAAAATACCTTACGCAGAAATCAGTGGGCTGGGAAATCGTTTAACAGTTGGCCAGTGTGGCAGAATAATAAACACGATAGTGAGTGAAAAATCATGTGTGCACTCGACTGGAAGATATAAGTTTTTAAGATCTTAATATTTGGATGTCTAGATTCGTCTTGGAAGTACGTAAAATAAATGGTGAATATTACCCACCGAATTCCGTATTTACTTTGGTTATGGGAATAGTTTCCCATTTACGGATTGCGAGTAAAGGAGTAAAACTGATGTGGATGTACTACACAGTCTAGAATTTGAGAGTTTTAGACAGGTTCTTGATGGTCAGATGAAGAAACTAAGTAACATGGGCCATGCGCAAAACACGAAACGATCCGAACCTATCACGAGTGACGAAGAAGAGCGCATGTGGAAATCTGGTGTATTAGGAAGTCATAATCCTCGAGTTTTAGTGAGGACATTGGTATTCCTCAATGGGTTACATACCTCTTTAAGAAGCGGCATAAGGATCGTAATTTGCGCTTTAAAAACAGTCAAATTCATCTCCTGAAATTGGTAGATGGTACTGAATTTCTGAGATATCAAGTGATGTCAGTAAAACATTCCAAGGAGAATTAAAACATCGAAAGATAACTGCTTAAGTTGTACATCATCATACCAATGTGAATAAAGATCAATGTCGTATTGAACTTTATAAGAAGTACCTCTGGCAGATATCAGATATCACCCTCTGATAACGTCTTCTTACTCTCTGAGCCATCACAACTTCAAAGGACAACAAGCGGTGTCCATGGTAGTTACGCCCACATTTTGCAAGAGATGGACGTGGAACAAGACAGACCAATAAGGTTCATTCTCTAATTATCCCAATGCTTCATATAGAATTTAAAAAAAAAAAATAACATCTGACAAAGAGTCGATTATAACATTAATATTCCCTAGTCTATAATTCAATGTAAATTAACAACCAAGACTGTATTAAACAAGAATTTGTGTTTTGATGCACACCAAAATCAAACTCATTGAAATGGAAGGGTATCGCTGCCAATATTAAATGCTCTGCTAAAATGTCTTTTCGACTGATTATATGTAAAATGTATAAAGTCCTAATACCGGTAATGATAAAGTCAAAATACCTCTAAGGCCAAAGTTAAATGTAAAACGTCAAATATAATGTGTCAAATGATACATGCGTAAGGGTCTTTAGCAGTGGGAGAAAACCGGAGGACGCGGAGAAACCCCACGTGGTTGGACAGGCGACCCTACTCCTTGTCACGTACAACCGGGGAATCGAAACCACGCCAATCACTTATTATTTGGACAGATAAATAGATACAGATAAAATGCTTGAAATATATACTTACGTCAAGAATACAGTGTATATATAACCAGATCTGTCAATTTTCTTAATCAGTTTTTATCCCAAGGTCTTCCCTCTAATCTGGTGTTAAGTTTTAAAATGAAATCT